CAATATTACATTCGGGCACTTCAAACTGATTAGTGCTAACGTATCTGAGTTCTCTCGATGCGCGATGTGTTAATCTAGAATCCGGGTTAATGTTATACAGGTGATGAGAAAACGTAAAGAAAAACTTTAGTCGAGCAATTTTTCGACGGACAGAAAGTAAGGGGAGGTTGAGGCTGTTCAGCATACCTGTGACAGAATCAAGTCGCTTGTATTTGGATAGAATAAATCGCGCCGCCTTCCTCTGAACTTTTTCGAGTTCACCATTTTGATTTTTTCTATAGGGGTCCCATACCGATGCAGCGTACTCCAAGGTAGGCCTAATATACGTTGTGTAGGCCATTAACTTCACTTTAGGCGGAGCACTGGCCAGATTCCGTCTTAAAAACCAAAGCTTCTTCATTGCTTTGTGACATATTTCATTTATGTGTTTACTCCAACTTAAGTCTTTAGAAAGTGTCACACCCAAGTATTTAAAACTGTCGACTTCAACCAAAGGACTCCCATCAAGCTCGTAAGTATAAGAAAGAACATTCTTAGTTTTGTTAGTTATTCGTGCGAAAACAGTTTTTTGTGTATTAATTTTCATCTTCCATTTCGAGCACCAGTCCTGAATAGACCCAACAGATGCACTATATATATATGTACTATAATCGGCCGCATATCTCATTTGTTAAATATATTGTGAGTTAGGCTGGACTGCTAGCGTTACTCGGGAAAGAAAATATATTCGTTTACTTCTACTTGTATTGCTTCGCGAGCGCCCCAATTGCGCGGAATCGCCGGGGCTGGTTTGTCGTCGCCACGGAGCGGCCCCCTTGTCCCCCGTCTTAATTGTTCCTCGAGAACCCCCGCTCGGGGTGCGCACCATGCGCTGTGCCCCGCTCGAGCGCAGCGGGGCCCCTCGACGTTTTGTAGCCCTTTTTTTTTTATTTTGAGAAGAAGCGTCGGTACTGCTCTTGCACCCCGACGAGGTTTTTTTTCCTGGAAGCGATGTCCGGCTGACGATCGACAGTTAGGGCGAAGGTTTTTGGGAATTTTCGGGGGTATGTGTACATGTACTTCCTTAATTGGATTTTGTATTATATATATGTTTGTTTTGTACCACGTGGCTCCCATCGGTCTGAAAAGAGGGCAATATCTGATTGGCTCCTTGGGTGGCGGGAAAACTCTGAACAAAGTGAATATAGGCGCACACAGGCGCGGGATTTGCGGTTCAAGGCTCGAGTACGAAAGTTGTCATCGGCAGTTTGAGAACTGCGCGAGCAAGGGGCGCGAGTGTGTGATTTGCTGCCTCAGGGCGAGAGCCAAGTGCAATATGTGAGCGTACAAACCATTTTCCAGCGTTCCTTTGTTGCGCGTGTGACTTCCTTGACTTTCTTTTATGAACGGACGTCGAAAACCTTAGAAATCGACACCAACGAACAAATTACGTGAGATTTTTGTTGGTTCGATCAGGTTAAGATGGGAAGTAATTTATGGTGGAACAGCATTACAGATGTTTATCGTCTATCCATCAAGGTGTTCCGCGTTTCTACTCATGCATTATTGCTTTATCAGCCCCGATGACTGGCGGCTTCGTGCATTGGAGTCGTGCTTTATATAATATTTGTTTTTATGATTCTTGTTTCCTGCTAACTCGGGTGCCTTCTGTTGACGTGACTTGTAAATAAAAAAAGTAAAGTGCAAATGCCTTCCTGGTGAGGAATTCCCGGGGCACCATTTTTATGTATCATATTCATCCCAAAACCAATATGACAACTTTAATTTAATTATTTAATAAAAGAATGCATAATCCTTAAAGAAAATGAAAAAGCTTTTATTTCCTCTTGAACTTTCTTTTCTCATTTTATATTGTCCCTCTTTACCACCTTTACCCCTTTACCCCCTTATCTTGTCCCCCGTTGGTCCGGCCCCCTCCGAAATGAAATCCTGCGTACGCCACTGGCGACAGGTATCCAATTTCCTCTCTCGAGCGTTTTCGCGACTATTTGACCAAAATGCTGCTGACGTGACGCCGAGAAGCGCTTGGAATCGCAGTTCTGTCGTCACCAGTTTCGTCGTCGATAGGAAAAAACAATGCGCGTGCTGCGAGTCCGCTGCCTGGAGCCCATCTTCGCAAGAAGATTTCGCCAACGACATATATTTTTCTATGCATGTCGCCAGCGAAAAGTGATCGCTCACTCGTGACCCGAGGCGTAAACTCCGATGATAATGTAATTTGATGATATAGGGAACAGAACAACGCACAAAAAGACAACGACAGATAGAAGGAACATGCGCAACACACAACCGCTATGCGTTGTGTGTTGTGCATGTACCTTCTCTGTCTTTGCGTGCGCTGTTCTGTTCAATATGTCATCATACAATTCGCCCAACTTACAACACTTCTGCTATAATGGAATTTATAAGTTTACTGCTATCAAAGAAAGGGCGGACCTTGAAAGTTATTGCTCTCGGTATCTTTCCGTCTAAAAGCCATTAGGAATTTTTACTTTTACAAAGAACTGCTCGATGCTGAGCAAATGAAGAGTCACTCTCTGTTACATTCTTGTTCACCATCGTAATGAATATTGAAGTAAAACAAAATCTAAGTCAAGGAAGCCTAGGCAAGACTGAACAAACTTTTCATACTTTGTGAGCTCACTTTCCCGCGGAACACGACCGAGCCAATCACAGCCAACATTATAAAAGAATCTAAGCGAATAACGAAGCTTATAATACGATTACAATTTAAACACGCAATCTGCATAGGTACGATGAGCAAGCGAAACGTCATTCCCTGATATTTTTTCCCCTGTAATGGGTTGTCTCGTGTTTTGCAGAAAAAAAGAAAAAACTCACGAACTTTCTGTTTTTCTTTTTTTTTTCTTTTTTTTTTTTAAGAGAAAAGCGTATGGTCGAAGACAGATTTGCCTCGAGGCGAAACGAATCCTGAGCATCTCATTGCCGCTCCTGAACCAATGAGTTTGCGGTATTAGCCGATGAGAACGTCGAAGAACCAATCAGAAAGCAAGAAGCGTGGACGTAATAAGTCACGCCCAGCGTTTCCTGAGCTATCGGGACTAAACGGCGTGCAAGTTGGTCTGCGCTCCTTGCGCGTGCATCTCGTGCGTATTTTTACTCCCCAAAACGCGCCGACTTGATTTTGTTACCCCCATACCTCAAGCAATGACGGTGCGCGCTTGGCTGCTTCGTCGTCGCGTGTTCCCTGGGCGTTCTCTATGTTGCCCTTCGATCGGCATGCTCTTCCTCGCGTTCCGATGCGCCAAAGGCGTGTTTTGGATCACATTCTCGCCGTATAGTTGGATGTTCAGCAGGGTAAGAGTACTATAGTCAACAATATGAAAAGGAACACACTTCCTCGTTGCCTTTTTAATGCGAAATCATTAGGTAATCCCATGAAGCGTAGCTGCTGGCGTCTGTAACCGCGAAGGGACGCGGAAGGAATGCCCATTCTCCCATCGGCTGAGCAAACGGCTCCGAGTGGCGGCCGCTGCACGAAAGCGCGCGCTCGGCCGCCGCTCTCGTGTCAGGCGTTGCCAAAGTGTGTGTTTGTGTATCGGGGGGGGGGGGGGGGGGGGGGGGCTGCGGCTGCTTCTACTCTTCTCGGGGCCGAGGAACAGCAACCTCGGCAGTAGCGAAACGTGGATGTCCACGCCAGTATACCGCAGACGAACAAAGAGAGTGGAAGAACGACATTCATGCTTTCACATTCACAACTCATAAAAAGTGTATAGGTGTCCTCGGAATTTTTTTTTTTACGTACTTTAAATTTTTTTAATATGTTGTGGTACTGACGAGGGCTGTAGAATGGAAAGTTTAGGTCCCAAACTGCATACTGTTTGCCAGGTTTAGGTTTAACGAAGGTTGGGGGAGCCGTGAAGCAGGAGGAAAGTAATATGAGCTGTTCCCCTTCATATATTACCGATGGTACTTTTCTGCTCAGTACCAAATAACCTTGAGCAATGTCGTCGATTGCATAACTCAGCTACTACAAATCGCCCCTCTCGTGAGCGCTCTCTCAAAGTGACGAAGATTACGCTCCTTCTATCAATTGTCCATCGAGACATGTTGGAGACAAGTATGAATATTGCAGTGTCTTCAACTATCTGAATGTACAGCTTCTGCATATATTCGTTCGGAAGACGTCTCGAGTCCATTCTGTATGTGTTTGACGCAGACTTGTACACGTTACTGAAAACAAGTAACTGATTACAATTACAATTACTACAGTCAAAAAAGTAACCGATTACCGTTACTGATTACTGCCTCCCAGAAGTAATTGAACAATTACTGCAAAGTAATTGATTACTTTTCAAGTTACTTTCACGTTACTTTTTATTGCGATGACAGAAATACACAAACACACAGTAAAATATTGCGTACACAATTTTGTTTGGTTATTGTTCCCTTTTTTGTTTTCAGACCCGGACCTTGTCGTGTAGCTGACGCGTCGACCTAAGGAACAAAGCCCACCAAAAAGTCAATAGCGAGTTCCCGCTTCCCGTCGACTTTATCAGCAATCTGCAACGAGATCCGGAACTCCCCAGCCAAGGCTGGTGGCGCGCTTGTAGAAGAGCGTGGCGCAAAAGAAAAAAGGATTTGCCGACTAATCCTAGTTTTATTTTTTTAGATGTTAAAAAAATGTCAATCATTTTTGCTCCATGGCTGAGTGACTATGCTGATTTTTGTGAGAAAAAAAAATTGTGGGATGAAAAATGTAATTGCGTAATCGTGTAATTGATTTTGTAATTGGTTACAGAAAAAAGTAATTGAATTACTCCAAGCGTTACAGCTTGACAAATGTAATTGAAGCGTTACAAAATTACACTTAACTGTAATTGATTACAAGTAATCAATTACTTGTAACGCGTTACGTACAAGTCTGGTTTGACGTCGCAGCTTTAGCCCCAATCGACATGATGTTCGGGTTATGTTCGGGTATAACTGAAGCACCCATAACTGCCACTTACGCGCACTCTTTTTTCCTCTCTTTTTAGGAGCAGCTTCTTCTCTCCGTGCTTCCTCGTCACGTGGCCATGGAAATGAAGGCAGACATAGCCAAGAAGCCGCAGGATTCCATGTTCCACAAGATATACATTCAGAGGCACGAAAACGTCAGGTGGGTTCACGGCACGAGCCTTTGTCTGCTTTTCATGTTTGCTTCTCTCCCTGTATCTTTCCCGTTTTTTTCTTTTTTTTTGGTTGTTTTTTTTTTTTCTTATTTGATTTTGGAAACGGAAGCAACAGCAGAGGCTTTAAATAAATATGACGTTTCGAAGATGTGGCTTCTTTTCTTTAGGCGTGGACACTGTAACTCCTTTCGTTTCTGTTTTTCTAATTTCTTTTTTCCTGCACAATTATCCGTTTGTGAACGCCGTCAAAGTAATCCTCCTTTCACAATTAGGATGTCCCTCCCTTCCGTTTCCTCGATTAACGATTCGTATGCCGCTGTCGCAAACAAGGCAACGGAGAGCTGCAGATCGTTATTGGCTCTTATCTTTCTTCTTGAGTTTAACTATTAATTTAATTATAATCATCCGTGACACTCGTGAAACGAGCGTGCGTGTTCACTCGAAGGAATTGACATGGAATATTAATACGAAATTGACGGACGGAAACATAGCACATCTACTGAAAGTATAAAGAACCGCGTGACTGCAGCCTGAGAATGTTGCTGTATAAAATCTCATAAAAAAGGAGTCTTCTTTGACAAAATAAGAACTGTAGGGACAAGCTTGAGTTGCCTCACCTCCAGCGCGACATTACTGTGCTGCAACACTCGCTTTCTTGTGCGCCTGTGCGCATTTTAATGTTTTTGTGAGAGTTTGTGCTTTTGTGTGTAGGATTATGCAGAAAATAGATGTCTAGTGGTCGTATGTGCGCGTGTCTGGAGAGGATGTTTTTGTTTGTCAGGGCGTGGGATGCCTCCCTTTGATTATACACGCATACCTTGTGGGGTTCTTTCCCATTCCCGGCCGCCTGTCTCCGAATGGACCACGCTACGCAACTCTCGGTGCAGCTGTTTATTTGTGCCTCACGTCCATGCGGGCGATGATGTCAATCGCCGAGCTGTGGCCGGCGTTGGCTTGCCCCGATGTCGTCGCACCCGGGCTGGTCCTTAGGGCCAATGATGGTGGTCCGCGCCGCCGATGCCCACGCGGCCAGCCATGCTCCCTCCACCATGGCTCCGGTGATCCGTCCGCCCAGGAGAGGCGTCGGTCGCTCGTCCCCGTGGCCTCTCACCGGGACGTCGGGAGCCGGGCCCCAGGAGCGCGGCCGGCAGCGCCGGCGTCAGCGGGGCCGCCCGTCAGCCAGTCCTTCCAGAGTCACTTTCCGGAATCCCGAATCCCCCCGAATCTTGCCCCGTCCGCGCTTTTTCTTCCGAGTCGTGGCCGTGTCGTGGCAGCGAGGGGGGAATCCCCGTGGCGGGGGAGGGAGGACGGGGGAGGGCTGTGGGGAGCGCGGAGCGGTTCCCACGCTCCGCTTGCGCTTATGTACGTTTCTCCGTATATATGTACATCAAGTGCATACGCGTGCGTCTTTGTGTGTCCCTCTATCTCTGCTTTTGTTGATACGTATTGGCATTCGTGTATTTCTGCTTCTGTTTGCGGGTCTGTACGCGGATGTCTGTAACTTTCATACTCGTGGAGGGTACATATATGTGCCTCCGTACGGTTTACACGAGATCTTAATCAACGGAGAATGACGATAAATACGTCTTTTTCTTCCCAACCTTTATACATTTTTTCGAAACACTGTATCCCACGTCCTAATTATACGCCGTGTCCAACCTTGGCGACCCTTTCCGTGTACAGAGAGAAGCTGAGGGAAAGGAAGGCATCAGAGCTCGCGGTGACGGCTCGAGTGATGATGAGCTTTTGACTGGAAGGATTCTACTTAGGGAGTAGACGCAATGACTCGCTGTCCTTTGGTCTATCCGCTGTCCCCCTCCAGTCGGCGCGAACAAGAGCGTCATCTGCTCCTTGCGCGGCGTCTCGCTTTCGGGCGCCAAACGCCGGTGTTCGAACCCCAGACCCCGCGCGGAGAGCAGACGATACTCCTGTTCGCTCTGATCGAAGGGAGACTGCGGCTAGAGACAAACATTGCATCTCCCCACTAATCCTTCCTGTCAAAACTCGGCGCTCTTCGTGTAGACTTGTTTTCCTTCGTTCAGGTGCGCTGTGTCTTACTTCGCCGTGGTACTTGTTTTCGGCGCATTATGCCTTTTTAACTAGGAACTAAGTAGCCCAATCAACCACTTTCCCGCTCCGACATCCACCGCACGGTCTCCTCTCCTCTCTCGACTTTCTTTCCGTATAAGAAACCCGTACCCGCGCTGTGCCTCGTACGTGACGAACCCAACCCACGGATCCGTGCGTGATTTTGTGCGTGCGGCTATGGTTTTGGAGTGCGTTTAGTTGAGATTTCCTCCGCGTGCTCGGCATACTTTATGCAGTTTCTGCCGCCGTCCTGGGTTTTGGTGTTGCCTTGCTCCCGAGGAAAGCAATTTCGGCTGCGGAGAAACTCGAAAATTTGAGCCGCTATTTTTACCTCGCCCCCGAGGCGCAGCGCTCGATCGTGTCGGGCTCTATACTGGACCATAATCGATACGCTTTAGACTCCACGGATATGTCAACACTTCGGAGCACCGAAACGCAAAGTCGCTGTTGAAATGCAAGAAGAAAGAAAAACGGGGATATTTTGGGAGTAAGGCACCCAGCGTCCGCGTCCAGATCTCGATGTATAGACATTCGTGTCATTTTTTTTTTTTTTTTTTTCATATTGCGGCTGCTGCCATTAGTGGCTGTTGGCAGATTTGTATCAATTTAAACATTTGCTTTTAATGTAGGTTTCTTCCAGCATCCCTATGGCCCATGGAATCTTACGTGCTTATATTATTTTGGCAGGAAAGAGGGGTATTTTGAATTCAAGAGGCGCCCTAAGACACGAAGCAAGATCGAAATCTGGACTGTAGTCACTGACGGCTACGAAGGGGGGAGGGGGGGGGGGGGGGGGGGGGGGGAGGGAGGGTTGGGTAGGGTAAGTAAGAAACAAATTAGTAAGCAATTTCATAACACTCCCTTCTCTCTTCCCCTCTCTCTCTTCTCCTCCCCTGCATCGGGATGGAGGCTGCGTAGTATAGATGTATAGAACTGCGTAGCATGTCGCTTTCACTGCATTTGACGGGATGTCTAAGCCGGGGTTTTCTTCTGTTTCAGCATCTTGTTCGCCGACATCTGCGGCTTCACGAGCCTGGCGTCCCAGTGCACGGCCGAGGAGGTGGTGCGCATGCTGAACGAACTGTTCGCCCGCTTCGACAAGCTAGCCGCCGAGAACCACTGCCTGCGCATCAAGATCCTCGGCGACTGTTACTACTGCGTCAGCGGCCTGCCGGATCCCCGCCTCGACCACGCCCAGTGCTGCGTCGAGATGGGCCTGGACATGATCGAGGCCATCGCGTGAGTCGGCCATACCATGCCTCCTACAGACGATTCCCATAATCCCCTATTGCCGGCCGCCTTCTGAGCATGCCTGGTGGCTCCTTTCTGCGTTGGAATATGCAACGCCTCGCATGCATCCTGGGCCCAGTACCTCGGGAATTTTTATCCCAGTAATAGGCGGTGGAAAGAAGTGTATATAATTTGCTCCCAACAACATGGGACACGGTTCTTTAACGAGGCAAGGACTAATCTACTTTCCTGCATGTATTGTCGATCCCTGCTATGTAGGCCGACACACTGGACCGCGAAATTCGGTTTCTTAACCTAGCGCGTTCCTATTTTGTACAGCGTTGGCCACAGATGGTGATTGTTTCTATGAAATTCGCAAAGACCGAGCTTACCTGAGGGAAACCTAAAAAAAGTAAAAAAAGAAAAGACGTTTTGACTCCTATGGAAACGCAGCGAAGCCACCGGTCTTGAAACCCCTATGGTTTGAAGACCGGTGGCTTCGCTGCGTTTCCATAGGAGTTAAGACGTCTTTTCTTTTTTTACTTTTTCCTCAGGTAAGCTCACTTTTTGAGAATATTATAAAAATAAATGCACCACCTGTGGCCAAAGCTGTACAAAATAGGAACGCGATAGGTTAAGAAACCGAATTTCATGGTTCATTTAAAGAGCCTCGCCGCTCCTTGAATCACCCAGTACGAAATCAGCTCGGCGAATGATGAGGCGCAACATCTGTTCAGACCTCAAAATTAAGTCTGAGCTGTGGCATTACGCAATGCAATCATGACGCTTTGCATCGCGTAATGCCACAGCGCAGACTTCATTTTGAGGTCTAAACGGAGATTCCGCCTCATCATTCGCTGAGTTGATTTCGTAGATCGCAGAGATTGGCTCTTCGAGTCTTTTAGGGGCAAGTCGACGCTCAAGCATTTCTTAGAGTGTACTAAAATAAATGGGAATAAAATGGCGAGCGAGTGAATTTGCGGAAATATTGATCGGAGCTGTTAGTCTAGTAGAATCCAGCCTCCTTCCACTTGCCGCGCGACGATATTGGGTAGGAATGTCTTCTGCTTGGGAACTTTCCTTGGCTATGCTTCCAAAACTACGGAGCCCAAGATCGTCGTCTTCCTTCACAGCTGAACCCCGGTTTTCATTTGAAGTTTGACGTTTACCTAAATCATCATTTTATTATTCGTGACCTTAATTATAATTATTGTAACATGACGCTTCACCTTAGACATTAAAAATAAAAAAAATGGAATCTTTTTCGTTACAAATTGTTTAGGTCCGCTCAAGGTTTTCAAAGTGCCCTGTCAGAGAAATGAAAGGCTCGTTTACACACTTGTAACCGGGTGTGACCGAGAAAGACAAGACCGATTTTTAAGCCTCTTGCGACGTCTTGGGACCGGATGCGATGCTGCGGAGCTGGTTTTAAGACGTCGTAAAAGGCTTAAAAACCGGTCTTGTCTCTCTCGGTCGTACTCGGTTGCAGTGTGTGAACTGCGCTTAAAAATGCCGTCCGCCCTGCACTCCACGCAGTCTTGTACGGTACAGAGTGCGAGCAATCAAATGACTTGTAACCGATTAATTTTAAAAGTAATTTACAATCATTTGATTACATTGATTAGGAAGTAATTACAACAATAATCTGATTACTTTTGGAATTACTAAAATTGCTCGCAACCGTAACTTTTTTCCCCTCCCGTTTCTTAAGGCGCCTTTGTTCGTACAAGTTTCCTGCCAAGGAATCTTCGAACCGAATTTCTGACAGGAGGATGCTTTATAAAAATTGGTGAATTAAGAAGATAATTAGTTCGTAATTAGGTTATTCTAATTCAATAATCAACAGTACGAAAGACCCGTTTTCAAACCGGCAGAGAACTCTGTCGTTTAGAAAATCTCATCGGAGAAGGTAACGGTTACTTTTTCAAGTAACGGGCGATTACTTTTCGTCTCGACAAAATCAAGTATCCTAATTGAATACTTCTTAAGCGACAGTAATTGTAATTGTAGCCGGTCGCCTTTTTCCGTGTACAACAAGACTGGCTCCGCGACATTTTCTGCAAACAACACTGCGCGTTCACTCTTGCCGCGGTGGAGAAACTGCGCTATACGAAGGCGTCGCTCTTTCGAACCAAGAGAACTGGTTGCGGTACTGCACTTATGCCTGAAGCCTGCGCGTTACGTCACATGACGTTACGCCCAGGGGTCCGGCACGGGCGCTGATTGGACGCGTGTGCCGCGTCAGCGTTCGCGTGGGACTATGATAGGAAACGAGCCCCACGCGAACGCTGACGCGGCACTCGCATCCAATCAGCTCCAGGTGCCGGACCCCGGACGTGACGTCATGTGACGTAATGCGCGGGCTTTGCTGTCCAGGAGGTGTTGACCCATGCGAAGAGCCAGTTGTCGCGCCCCCAGCGCGAGAGCTTCTTCCTGTCTTCGATAACGCATCGGCGTTTTCCAAGCCTCGAGCGTCGACGCGCTGCCAAAGAACAGCGAAGGGGTAACGAGCGCGGCGCGTCCCGTGGACCAGCAAACGCTTTCTGTCATTCGAGTCGTTGCAAAAAGTGTCCTTAAGAAAACAAGGAAAAAAAAATAACTTGCTATCGGCGGCACCCTTAGCATCTGTTACAACGTTTTGTTTGGTTTCCGAAGCCTGTGCCCGTGTGTCGTAAGCTGTTTTCGTTTTTCGCGAGAGTTTTCTCGCCATGGGCGCAACCACGCCTTGTCGTCCTCGCTTATCTGCAGAAGATCGGCTGTACTCCAACACTTGACGATGAACCGCAGCGGACGCGACGAAACATCCGAGCCAATTCGAGGCCGCGTGGGGGTCACGGTCACGTGGTCGTAACGTCTGCAACCCACAAATAAGCTTTAAAAAATGTGTGTGTGTGTGTGGGGGGGGGGGGGGTTGGGTTGGGGGGGTTGCAAGTGCGAGCCACCACCACGATGCATGTGCGCGGTCACGTGGTATACGCTTGCAGCGCTGGATTGGCCTGGGTGGCTCGTAGCGTCTGCTGCGGTCCATCGTAAGGTGACATTGAGTGTGTGGGCTCCTTCGTTCGGACATCCAGCGTCGCCGACGATCGAGACGCTGCTTTCCTGGCTGGAGTGGGGGCTGGAGCCACGTGAACGGCGCTTAGCGCGTGTCTCCGTGCGGAACGCGGGACGATCCGGGCCACGGCCTTGTCGCCTTGCACGCGTGCTTGGCACCGAGACAAAAGAGTGTCGCATGACTCGCGATGCCGGCCTCGGGGCCTTCGCCTCGTCTTCCTGATGTACGAGTCTGGCCGGGACGGAAAAACCGCGGGAACAAGTCACTCCCTTGGCTCCGTAATATTTCTGGAACACTGACTCTGAGAAATCTCGTGGATAACTTGAAACATAAAAAAACAGTGTGTTTTTGTGACATTGAGCATGACGTTTCACGTGCTTTGCAGTCAATCAGATTCCGGAATCGGCCGATGAGAAGGTCGGAGAACCAGCCACGAAGCGAGAAGCGTTAGCATATACTATTAACAGCCCTCGTGTTTCCTGAGCTGTCATTGGCTACGCACGAATTCGCGGAGGCTCCAGTTGAACCATTTTCAAAAGTGAACGTCATTCTGGGGCTCTAAACTCGCCAAACGCAAAGTTTATGCCTTAGTTCACGCAGCACACCGATTGGCCCATCACGACGATGACTTGGCGCTTTTTTCGCCGACGTCCAATCGGCGCGCTCCGCCAACTTTCGGCTCCAACTTTGTCTTTGACGAGTTTAGGGCCCCTGGAACCGCCGCGCAACTCTATCCGAGTCCGCATATGGTTTCATCACGTACTCTGAGCACCTATTGGACACGATGAGCTGCGTCCGCGTTCAGCAAAGACTCCGATCCAATCGCACGTTTCGCGCCCAATAAACGGAGACCGCAAACCTGGCTCGATGGAGTTTTGAAAACGGTCTATTGGTGCGTGAATTGGTTCTCTGCAGCCTGCTCAACGCGTGCTGTTTACAAAAATCACAGTCCACACGTGCTAAATGACAGTCAAGCTAGCGCTCGCTCGCAATTGCGGCCTGCCAGAAAGTGCGCGTGCATAACACACAAACACAGCAATGAACGCGGCCTCATACGCTTTTATGGAAAGGTGTACATCAGAGCTGTGCCCTGTCGGTGTGCCTTGGCGGTTACCTTGTACTGCGATGTGTCCTCTCGCTTACCTTTTACTTTGTGCTCGTCTTTGCGCTGTTTTGTTTTTAATTATGTCTACATACCAATTAGCCCAAACTTCCGCGTTAATCGAGCGTAGCAGAGCTTCACGTGGTGCGTTCACGTGTGCAGTGGGATCATGGTTCAGCCATGGGACGGTTCGCTGCTGCGCAGCAACTCATCAGCAGAAGAATACCCGGGGCTAAGATCTTCAGATGTTCCTGAGCATCTCTATTTCCCACTGGGCATGCCGAACTTCAACCGAGGCCTGAATAAAAAATAAATAAAAATTAGCAGGCCTGTGGGAATTTGTACTGCAGTCACAACGTAGTCATTTCTAGAGAATTTCTATAAACTTTTGTTTTCTATAGATGATTTCTATTGATTCTTTATGGGATATCTATATATATTCTATAGAACATCACTAGCATCATGACGTCACGTGGCACCGAGACGTCACAGACGCGCGTAAGATTCGGGACACGTGACATCGCTATTGACGCTGGTCCTCGTAGTTTCGAGGAAAAGACCGTAACAGCTATCGCCGTCATTTTCTTTTTTTTTTTTTTTTCCTTTTCCACCAACAACGGATGAAGTTTAGGATGTGGCACTTCGTAAACATGACGTCTCTCGTTGTCAGGTCGTGCTCGCGGTGTCGTATCGCAGGTTTCATTTTCAGGTCGAAATGTTTTTGCCGCTCTCTTGTGCGCGAAACTCCCATCGTAAGTCGCAGTGGCGGACTCTCCCGCGCGGGAATTTCTGAATTAAACAAAATCGTTTCATGTGAAACGACCTTCGTACTGAAATTTCTGCTTGTCTTGTCAGCTGAGTTACGTTTTTGTGCATTAATCGTTATACCCTGATGTCCATTATTCAAACGTTGGCTTCACACGTGGCATCTTAAATAATTTGTGCTCTCCAATTTTCAGAATGCTCTCACCAAATATTAGCGCGTGTTCATAGAGCAGCCTGGCATAATACAATATTGATTAGTTTGCACTCACATTGTAAAATGTGCGGGGTGTTGTTTTTTTTTTTTTTTTTTTTTTTCAAGATTCATTTTTAAGTCGCTATAATAGTCCCATAATTTTGAAATTTAGGTTCCAGTTTCCAGTTTAACTTGCCATGTTACTTTTATGTGCCTTGATCAGCATGTATCCGTTTGACCTAAAATGTTGCAAAACTGATAAATTGAGCAAACTACAAATTTTACGGCATGATCATTTAAGGAAATATAAAAAAAAATTGTAAAAACACATCTAAAAAAAGCTAGAAATTTGGAGGAAAAAAAAAACATGCAAAACACATTGGTCCTAAATTGCAGCTGAAGGTTTTAATACGAAATGAATGACACAAGGCCATGGGCCTGCAATAACTAAAACAATATGAAGCGCGCCCACACTACAGAGCTCACGCAGCAACCAGAGGCCAAGTGAAAAATTCAGGTCTTCGCTTCTGTCGATTTGAGCGAGAAAAAAGAAACTCCGAAGCTCAAGCATGAGAAATTGAGCTATCTTGTAAATGTCTCCAACCCACCAGAGGTACAGGAAATTTCCTGGCCGTATGACACCCAGTTACGAGACAGATCTGGCTCGCACCTGCATGCGGTGTGGGAACTCGCGCTGTGCGAGATGCTGCGAGCAGAAAAGCTGTGGTTCTACACTGCGGCTCTTCAGAAATCTCACGTGTTCTGCACACTAAGAAAAAATTACACCTTAAGGGTGTAAAAACGCTGTTTGAGAGACTCGCAACCACGGCCGCACCCTTTCAGCAGCCTTGTTTTGAGTGATACACCCCTTTCAAATTGTAAACTAGGGTGCTGTTGTACGAACCGCCGTTTATATTTTAACGGTATAAAAGAGGTTCTACGATGAAGTGAGGCGAACACCCTCGAAAGGGTGTTCGCCCTTCAGAAACAGCTTGATCGGAGGTTATTTTAGCTACGTGAAGAATAGTTTTTGCATCTATGAAGTATTTTTTTCTTTTTCCTTAGAGATACATTCTTTGAACTATGATTTACGCGAAATATCGACGAGAACAGAGCAGCGTACCCTTGACCTTCGTCATTGCGTAGACGGTCGCCCGCGAATGAACCATCTTTTGAATTGTCGAGCTATAGGGCGATGGAGCAATAAACAGGGCCGGGATTCCTCTCCCGTGCGTAATTTGCTATGTCTGTATTGACCTTTCGTGTGCGTGTGGTGCAATCGTTGACGTGAACCTGTTGCTCGTAAAAGGTATCTCTAGAAGGCTGCTAAGGTCACCGGCCTTCTGTTTTAGTGTGTCAACCAGCACTCTAAGGGTGTTACTGTTAGGCAGACTCCTCAGACATCCTACAAAAAACACACTGTCTGCAGACTATCTTTCGTACGATGTATTAGCAGTGTGACCGCGGCCTTAGGGAGTTAGCTGCGGGGACAAGCTCATTTACACCCTCGAGGGTGTAAAACATTTTCCAGTGTGTGTCTGGACAATACCGTTCAGGTGGTCCTTCGTTCTCTGGCACGCAGGCTGGTCCGCGACGTGACGGGAGTGAACGTGAACATGCGGGTCGGCATCCACACGGGGCGAGTGCACTGCGGGGTCCTTGGGCTCAAGAAGTGGCAGTTCGACGTCTGGTCCAATGACGTCACCCTCGCCAACTACATGGAGGCCGGGGGCATTCCGGGGTGAGCCTTTGTCTCTACTATGGTTATCTTCGCACGCCATTTGCCCAGACACGCATGTTTTGGAGAGCTGCGTATATTACGTGAGGTGAGATTCACTTTTGTGGCACAGGTGGGGGTCCGGTGACTAGATGAAAAAAATTACATGAACGAAGTGTATTTTAATCCTACGAATAAAGTCAGGCACAGTTTGTATTCTTATGCTTGCTTTACGTACCTCCTGCTTCCCTGTGTGCTCGCCGTTTTTTTGCGCACGCATTCTCTAGCACTTGTGTGTGTGTGTGCGAGCTTGTCTGTGTGTGCGAGAGTAGGCTTGCCTGCATGCGTGTATGTGTGGCTGCGTGTGCGTCTGTGCTTGCGTGCGTGCACGGTCTTTTGTGTGTATGTGTGTGCTGGAGCGTGTGTGCATGCGTATGCGTGCCTGTGTGCCTGTGTGTGTGAAAAAAGTACGTTATTTGAATTCAGAGAACGAAAGAAGCAGATGTGGCTTTATACTTGGGTAGTAATTCAATTAAAGGAATTGAATCACCGTAATTTAGTTACATTTCTAAGTAATTTTTATATGTGATCATTACTTTTGATGAGAAATAATTATAGTTCCCATTTAACTACTTTTGGACCTCAATAATAGCAAAATTAAAATTACGTTTACAAATACTTTTTTTAAATTTTATCACGGTGGAGGTTCGTTCTTTATAGAGTTCATAACACGTGAAACTACGCTCCTCGTCTGCCTCATTGCCTTGCTGCCCAACTCATGGCGCTTTGAAGGAGCCCAGACTGCATGAAGGCGCTGGGGGTTGACACACAGCTGAGCGGCTGTCCAAGCCGAAACAGCCTTGGAGGGCCAAGAAGACGCATCATATGTATAGCAAGAGTCAGGATGGAGAGAGAAACAAAATCAACATGATGTGATTGAGATCTGTACATTGAATTACATATAACGACTTCGGTTATTTTCATAGTAATCCAGAATTGAGCCTCCGTAAGTTTTTTCTGTGCCTAGCGTCCAAAATATATCACTTTTACATTGAACGGCGGAGATAAAAATAACACTAACAATCTTGGTAGGGACGCAAAATAAACTACTGACTCGTGTCCACACTCAGAAGTTACAACTCCCTCTCACACTAGTAATAAAATAGGTGAAACAAAGGCACGAAATGTGGCGAATGTTAGATTCCGTGCACTGAGTCCCAAAGGGTCAGACAAACCGTGGACAAGCACATTTGAGTGCCGAAAAACGCAACTAGATTACCATCGAGGAACCCAGGCAGCTCTCGAAGGAAAGTAGCTGCGAAGAAATTCACTGCTTTTTAGTTAATTAAAGATTGTACTGGATTACTTTCTGTATGCTAGTAGTTCTATTTGTACCTAACTATCTAACAGCAAAGTATTTCTAATTGTGATTAATTACATTTCCGAGGAAATTTACCCAAGTGGACGGAAAATCTATATAAGCTAAGTATAAGCTTTAATATTAAGGTGGGCTGATGTAAACATATCGATAATCCGGGGGCGGTCTATCGGATACTACACTAACCAATCCACATATTATTGTAATTTGTAAGTCATAAGTCGCGTTTTTGATTTGTTTTTATACGTTGGGGTGCTTATATATTCATTTTTTTTATCTATAAGTGTAGACCTTAACTGGCGTACCTGTGCCTTAGAGATTATATTTTTCATTTGATTCGTTGGCAAGAATACTGAAACTGGATCCCCCGTGCACATATATCGCGACCACAAAATCCAGGGTGTAGCCGTAAAGACTAACACATTTCGCGCGCCTTGCAAAGTTCGAGTTCGAAACTTACATACCTGAAACTTGACGCGCGAACGTACTTTCACAAGACGTTTTACGCAATTAAATTACAAATAGCGCTAGAACGAGGACAGACGAAGAAGTGGACAGGACAGGCGCTAACTCACAACTGACGGTTTTATATACAACGTTAAAGAAGAAGGTGAAGGAAGTGTCGGGAGTTGAAAAAAGAAGAAAAAATAGGTCTTTTTCTAACCGGGCGCTCTAAGGAGATTGTTAGACTAGAAAGATTAAAACACAGCAGATCAAAAAGAAATTAATAAAAATTAAACAAAGGTAATGATTTTGAACTCTATACGCATAGACCACCCCGGTGGTGCACCGGGTGGGTCTATGCGCTCGCGCCGGTATAGCTTTGGCTGTGGTCCCTGTTGGATGTGAAAAGGTAAATAAGCTGTACGAGGCACTGATCGGCGGCCTTTGGACGATCACCCTTTTTTTTTTTCTATTAAATTTTTATCCAATTTTTTTTATTCTCAATTTGTCTCCCACAGTCCGGGGTTATTTTCTAAGCCTTCAGAATAGTATCGTATAGAGTTCAAAATCATTACCTTTGTTTAATTTTTATTAATTTCATTTTGGTCTGCTGTGTTTTAATCTTTCTAGTCTAACAATCTCCTTAGAGCGCCCGGGAGGTGTGTACGTCTGGAATTCTAATTTCAGGTGTGTACGTCTGGAATTCTAATTTCACAAGCCGTGTTAAATGTGTTGGTCCTTACGGCCGCACTCTGAACATATGCCGGTTTATTATAAATGCAGGTTTACCGCGCCGACCGTGCAAATGCATAGATTCAACTAGACGCGACTTACTGTATGAACGACTTATTTTTTGCGGGCTCAATATTTCGCGATTTAGGTCAAAGCTGAAGTTTTAGAATAATTCGCGACTTCTGATTTGCGCGACGCGGTGGGATCTCGTTATAAATTCCAATATGTTTCCATTTTCCCGGATTTTGTTCGCGGGACCTATTTTTCGCGTTTTGTACGCGATTCGCGAGATTCAGGAAAATTAGGTCCTCGCGAAAATTAATTCGTTTACAATATACCAATTTTGTTTTTTTAATACGGCCGTTTGTAATTAGGTTGGGGTACGATTTATGGACCTGAAAAGGGAGTACGGGTAGTGGATGATGGATGACGTAACGTCTCGGAGCTTTGCCTTCGGAGCTAAGTGATCCCCCGGGGTCCTCTCGTCCGCAGGAGCGTGCACATCACCAAAGAAACGCTCCAGTTCCTCGGGGACGACTACGAGGTGGCACCCGGGGAAGGCGGCCAGCGGCACCCGTACCTGCGGGACCACAACATCGAGTCGTACATCATCATCCCCAACGACAAGAAGAGGATGGCCCCGCCGGAGAACAACGCCAGCTCCGCCGCCCTGCACGGCGTCGCCAAGGAGATCCGCATCATGGGACACGCCAACTCCAGGCGGGCCATGAACCTAGGGTCGGTGGACGCCGGCCGCTGGCCTATTCGTTCATTCATTCATTTGGTAGCTTTAGCAGATGGTGTTTTTCTATAGACGGTGACAGGTTAACATTCAGTAGATGCTTCGTTTCCAGCGCAAGTTTTCTGCCTTTGACAGCACTTCGGCGTAGGCGCAGCCAAAGCTTGGCAGAAGGCAGCAGGTGCGTGCTGGAGGCAAAGCTTCTTCTGCACTCCTAACCTGTCACCGACTACAGAACGATAGTGCTATTTGGAGTTCGTTCCGTCTAGAGCCTCTAAAAAAGTTACGCCCCTTCGAAGTAACATTTTCAGCCAAATATTGTAGCTAAAAATTGTTGTTGCCAGCGATTTCGAGCTTCATCCTAAATTGCGAGAATTGCTTTTCCGTCCTCCAGAAGTCCGCGACAGAGCGAAACGATGTCTGAGTTTCCAAACACTGTATCTGAAGCCGAGGAAGTCGCATTTTCGAATCGTAACTATCGTCAATGGCGTCCACTCTGCATTAGGTAAACAATATGGTGGCGCCCACAATAAAATTGGGTAATTCAGTGTCACTACTCTGAGCTTATTTACTGGCTCTCTTTATATATAGTGCTGACCATTCAAATCAACTTTGCTAGAATAATTTGTTCGGCTCAATAGCGTCCAAACTGGACACGCTTTCTGCTGTGCACGGCATTTACTGGACAGGAAGTGGTATTTTTCCATTCGCTTTCAAACGCTTATTTTTATTTTTGCTGGAAGAAAGTTATTTCTTGTTACGACCGATTGGCGTTCTCGGACAAAGCTTTGGAGCGTGCTCGTGACGTGAGTCCAAATTTATAGCCGCTCACACACTCTGCTGGCTGTTCGTCAATGTCTCCGCTGTTGTCATTCCTAGAGCTCCCGAAAACAAGAGCGGGGAGCAGTCGACAGCAAGGAAGCGAGGAGGAAAGTCGTGCTGTTTTCGTGGTTGACCCTTTTTTTTTTTTTTTTTTTTTTGCTGTGCACAGTAATAAGTGTGTTTTGTTTGGACAGCTCTTAAAGTACATGATCTGACGACCGCATGGTGCTCCAGGTCCAAAGGCTACCCCGGGAGCGACAAGAAGAAAAACTCACAGGAGGAAGTGAACGACTACCTGTCCCACGCAATCGACGCCCACAGTATCGAGCAGCTCAGGGCGGAGCACTGCAAGAAACTCACGCTGACTTTCCACAAGCCAGACGTCGAAGACAAGGTACCGACGCTGGTCGTCACGTCATATGTATATATATATATATTGCACTTTAACTTTAAAAAAAATACTCCTAGTTGAAAAAAGACACCTTGACAATCAATCGTTTTACATCTCATTTATCAGCTGACAAACGCTTCCTTGCTCGAAAAGAAAATTCAGGACATTACCTCCTAAGTTTAAATATAATTTGAAAACCTTTTAAAATTTTAACCATTATGACTTCCTTAAAACATAAGCTATGTAATCTTATAAATACTTTATAATGTCGGGTCTCTTGCTAGTGAACTGCGCACGGGTTGCGCTTTGACAAGGCCAGCGGCACGTCACAAAACTTTTTTTAAGACAAGGGAGGGCGTAAATATTGGAAGGAATTGTGGCCCCCAGACCTGAGGGGCACTTTTCAAAGAAGTTGAGAGGAAGAAAGCAAAAACGGGCCCCTCATGTCAGTGCGCAACAGTTATAGTCGTATTTATTTATGTCTACATTGGCGTTCGTTTCGTAGCTACGCACTGGTTACACCCATATTACGAACCGGATGACAGATATTTAGTGAAGCTGAAATCAACTACTGTATTGAGATTGTCTGTAGCCAGTGTCTCCGCATAAAACGAGCTTATTCAGGTTAGTGAGTGAAGATCTTCTATCTACATTGCAGTACATGAAAGAGCCGGATCCAATGCTGGGTGTGTACATCGTCTGTGCCGAGGTTGTGCTGGTGTTCATCTTCATCATTCATATGATCATTTTGGATCTGTAAGTGCCACTCTGCATACGTACTCGATATATTATTTGCATCTATCTACTATGAATTCATAGCGTCAGATTATATGCGTGTATTCCATAACAGACTTTGGTACAGAAAAGGCACATAACTCTGGCACAACGTGTGACATGCAAATATTTTTTTACAGGTCTTGGATCAGGGTATTTATTCAAATAGGTGGCATTGCTGTCATAATTATGGTCATCTGCATCATCCTATGCCTGCATTTAGACGTAAGTAATCGAAGCTGTTTATTTATGTGACCTTCACATATTATTTACTGCAGCTGGCAGCACTTCCCCGCCTCATAATATTAACTTTCTGTCTTCTTTTCCAGATCTTTACAGCTGTGATTCCTTCGAAATGTTACAAGATTTCCGAAAAACTCACCGGAAATCGGTTTCATAGTCAAGTTATTTCAATTGTCATACTTGTGATTGTATACATCTGCTGCATGACATCATCCGTAAGTGGACTTCTTTTTTCGCTCGTCATGCTCTTGTGATTACGAATTTCAACTCGCGAAAAGACCTTTCGGGAACATACCGCAATGCCTTTCGTCATTGCACCGCGCTGCGCGGAGAATTGTGGGGTTGTTCCGCTGTACGGTCGGGCTGACTCCTAGCCTCAGTACACCTTGAAAGCTGCGCAATTCCTTCTCTCTTGCGTACCACTGCGAGTTTAGAACACAATGATAACAAAGCGAGTATATCAAAGAGTTGATACGTGCCCTGCTTTGTTATTGCCCTGCTTTCTTTGCATTCTAAAATTCCAAAAAGCTAAACAAACAGGAACCACTCCTTCTATTCATGGGTATCTTCCTCACGCCCCGTACAGCGGATTGCCGTAGTGCGTCAAAAATACGATGGGGGGCGCTGCGAATTTTCGGAACGGTCTATTGTATTCCCGGTGTCATTTGTAAAGCCAAAACCCTTCTCGTTCTTGCAGTTTCTGCCAGCATCGGACGATATTGCATCATGCCTGTATTTTGACGCCAATTACAGCATGTCATACAACTTGACGTGTGTGCAAGAGAATTACGTAAATGTACCTGAGGTAAGCAGTTGATACTTTGCCGTATCGGTCCTCTACGGATATTCCTATACCAGACTCTGCTAAGCTAGAACTAATATTGTTATTTCGCTTACCAGTTTTCTTTTTCCTTTATCAGTATGAGTAGAACAAGGTTGAATTCTATCTACACTAAAATTAAATGCACGTTTCAACATTTTACTATAAATAACTGTTCCCTCTCAAACGCTTTGTTTTCATACCACAGTGTGAAAGGGCAGGACCATTTTACCATTTTAATGTTGTTACCTGACCAGCACTTCGGCTGGTTTGTGATGTAATTTATTAACGGGGCTAGGACACGTAAAATATAAAATCTCATATAACTACATTGCTATCGCCCATTTAATGGTGCTATATTTTTGCTAAATTTGTTTCGTACAACGCGTTAGTCTCGTGGCCGATAAATTATATTCAATCGCGGGACCTTCGGATTTCCTCATTTGGGAAGACCGCTATCTTTGAAATATATTATGAATGTGTCCCCTAGCATTCCTAGCGGAGCGGCGGCGCAACTCCGGCCGTCTTTTGTATGAACTCGCAGACAGCTTTCTCAACCCTTGGGCTGCGTCGGCCTTCAGCTTTATCGTTTTCCTCCCACGTTTCCAGCACATGGAGTCTGCGGCAATGTTCATGTCGTCGGAATCTTTTGTTTCGGCGGACTAGGAGCAAGGAGCAGCTAGGCTAGGAGGCAAAGGAATTAGAGCAGCTGCGTAGCGTGGAACGTGCACACATGTGGCGAGCATGGATAGGCTTAGAATGAGTGATTGTTTTCTGTTGACAATTACCTGGTTCGTAGACACTATGATGTGACTACTCTTGGCAGATTATGTGAAAATTGCATCAGGGTTTCCATGTCACCAGATGCAAACGATCTAGATTAGAAACATAATTCTTATAGTTACTACAGCTCTAAAAATCGCAAAACTGTTTATATACAATAAGTAAACTATGAGCATTTCATGTCAGGTGTAATTTATTTCCTTACATTTCGTGTCCTGACCCTTTAAATATTTATTTTGCGAAATCAAGGGGCAAATTAATTTGCTTTCGCGTTCATGCCGTTTTAAACTCCTGTCAGAGGGCACAATAATAGGCTCACTATAGGTGCATTAAGAATTTTCGCAGCTATACCGATTGGAAAAGCTTGATCGTACATGCTACAGCTAGCGTTCCTTGTCCTCGGTTGATACCGATAAACCCCGAAAATAAAACCCCGAGTTGGTTTCATCAAAAGCGGGGAAAAGCCGAAAAACCCCTAATCAGATCGAGCTGCCCTGAATAAGAGAAATGTAAGCTTCACGAAACAGAAAGCCTTTATCTACTGCTTAATTTTGTTTTGAATGAAAACACAATCCACACTGAACTGCCCGCGTGGTATTTCGAATAACACCCCTTACCTCAACACCTCTTAAGGGGTTTTGTTAGCGGAGTTCTTCAAAGCCCCTGGGTTGTTGGTCTCTTAAGGGGTGTTGGGAGAATTATCTCGTTTTCAGTCTCTTACTGGGACCGAGACGTTTTCTAACTTTTCGGGTCACGCGCGTGTTCCCTCGAGGTTGGCAATTCCCATTTCATATTCCCTTGCACATAAGCACCCCCGCCCCCCCTGGTGTTTGGGGGGGGGGGGGGGGGGGGGGGCTATAAACACCGATTCGTGTTCTCCAATATCAAACATTGACGCTGAAACACACCGAATATTTGGGGAAAGAAATAAACGCCGAACGAAAAACCGCGAATTCAAAGAAAAATAAACCCCGGAAACACGATACCCTACCAATAGAGTATAAAAAAAAACGAATGGTGAAAGCCAAAATCTTTAATTTTGTATCTGTAAGTGGGCAGCGTCAAAGCAGCATCTTCAACTCAAGCTGGTTTCCAGACGAAATAAGCAGTTGTTTAAGTTGCGTTCCACGTGAACAACAAACCGCAGATCCAAAATAAAAAAAAAAAAAAATATTTCTTTTTTAGAAAGAAACATTGAACATTAATGGACTTTACAAACAGTGTAAGTATGCATTGCGCGACACTGTTTGCGCAAACAAGCGATCGCTGTTATCTGTTTTGTTGTTTCTTTTAAAATTTAAGAGATGTCATCAAAACTACTGTACTGGCGAAAACTGCTCTTGGTGCACTAACAAAACAGACAACATTTGGTGTCTGATAATGTTATATCGAAATAAAGTTGAAAAATCGCCGATGTCGTGCTTGCACAAACAGTGTCAGGCAGTGTGCATATCTGGGTATGTGAGCCGTCGTCTATACCCGATTAGAAATTTGGCAGTCAGTGAGATTTGGCTTTGTTGTGGTTTTTACTTCATTTGATTTATATATATACTAGACTAACTGAATTCCGCCTTTAGCTAATCAGCAACAGTTTTTTTTTTTTAACGAGAAGTTGGCGTTTTACAATTTAGTTTGGAAAATTGAAAGAATTATATCTACGACTCGATCGAAGGGAGACTACAATTATGTCATTGCCCCTCTCTTTCTATCTCTCTCTCACTTCCATCCCACCCTTGCTATCACGCGTCCTGCACTCAAATACTTGCTATGGAACAGATCTTACTCCGCAAAAATCCAACGGCCTTGGCGCCGTCAGCTTTTGCGCAGTTGAGACGACTGAACGCGCTCAGCCTCAAGATTTTTCCCTTTGAGTTAGGAGGGGTGGCTGCCGCCATATTTCGTGGTGGCAACCCGTCAAGACGGCTGAGACAGCCGTCTTTGCTGTCTCGGCGAATTCGGTAACTCGGTCCGTCGACGAGAGCTCTCTCCTTCGGCGTGCAGCGCGAGAGGGTGCACAGCGCGATGCTCATGCATTATCCCGGACGCGAGATTTACGAACCGCTCGGGAAGGGTTTGGCGCTGTAGGCTCCTTGTGTAGTGCAAATGAGCGGAGTAAATTGCATTGTCTTAGTCAAGTATTTGGTGCACTGTTGCTGTCCCCTTTCCCTCCACTTTTTGTATCACTATTAAAAGGCAACGGTATGCTGCGCGAGTGAAAGAATAGCATCCAATCCACTCGAGTGGTGCTCCTCCGAGCACATACGGTAGAGCAACACGTGACGCTTTCAAGTTGGAATATGCTTTTGCTCGATGAAGTCAAATGGTAGAGCGCGAAGACAAGGACAAAAAGAGGAGAACTTTACATCACTGTGCGCTAACTTTCAACTGTTTATCCTCCTTATTTATCTTTGTCTTCGAGTACTACCATGTACTCTAAACTTTAGCACAGCCTCGAACAACAATCAACACTATTCTGCAATAAACAAATAATATATAATGGAGTACATATCTACAGTGATCAAACGCAAACCGAAAAGAAACCTTTCGCACTCAGAGTTTGCGTTTAACTAATTCAATGACTCGATAGAATTTGACACTCCCAGTGAGAAAAAGTATCGCCTGACTTTCCCTCACTCTGTTCTTACAAATATTATGCAGCATCACTTAATCGCAACTGCAATACTAAATACTCGAAATGTGTTCAGGAGTTAAGAGGGTGCTGTCACTGGTAAAGTTAATTTATTTACTCCCAAAGTTTCGCGTTCCGCGCTGCATGTGCCGTCAGTGTTTACAAACGCTGTAGAATGAGCCGAGGAAATCACCCCTTGCACGTAGCGAACTAATTATTTATCAACGTTACTAAAACACTCAGTTGGGCAACTCACCCTTGAAACCCGGACCGCTCGCATTCCTCGTGACCAAACTGAATACGATAATAGCGCCTCCTTCAGCGGCGAGTCAAAACATGAAAGTTGATTTTCAAAAGCTTTTGACCGTGTCCCCCACAAACGACTAATACATAAACTAAGAGTAGCAAAGATAGAAGCAGGCATCGTTAAATGGATTTCAGGCTTTCTTTCAAATAGATACCAGTGTGTTGTTATAGATAACATTGTCTCTTCTCCTGTCTCCGTTAAATCCGTTGTTCCCCAGGGCTCTGTCCTCGGGCCTTTACTCTTTCTCCTTTATATTAACGACATTCTTACCAACATTACTTCTACCATGCGGCTTTTCGCAGACGATTGCGTCATCTATCGGACCATAACCTCTCCCTCTGATAGTGCTTTACTTAAAGCTGACCTCGAGAAAATTTCAAGGTGGTGTTCTCATTGGAAAATGCAGATTAACACAGAGAAAACTAAATGCATGACTTTCACTACAAAAAAGAAGATAACCGAACATGCTTATAAAATTAACAATACAGATATCGAAAGGGTACAATCATATAAATATCTAGGAATTCATATAACACCTAGCCTCTCATGGAACCTCCATATTGAAATAACTTTAAGGGATGCTTCTAAAAAATTAGGTTTCTTGAGAAGGCACTTATTTCTAGCTGACACTAACACGAAACTTATGGCATATACATCCCTCGTAAGAAGCAAACTAGAATACACCTCAGTGATATGGATTCCACACCAAGCTTACCTAATTAACAGTCTAGAGTCACTACAAAATAAAGCAGCCCGGTTTATAGCATGCGATTACTCTCCTACTAGTAGCATCACCCGTATCAAAGAATCATTAGATTTAATGCCCCTCGAGACCAGAAGGCGAATCGCACGTTTTTCGTTATTTCATAAAATCTACCATAGTTCATCATCTTTCCGTCAAACGCACATTATGTCCGCTACTCGCATTTTTCCCCGCTTTGATCATCCTAACAAAGTAAATTCGGTATTTGCGCGTACTAACTTATACAAATACTCCCCGCTGAACCTCGCAATAAATGAATGGAACGCCTTACCAAGTAACATTGCAGTCACACAGGATTGCCAAACTTTTTTAGGCTTCTTGATTTCTTTTATATCAGAAAAAGCCTAAGTCATTATCACTCTGTATTCTTTGCTTCGTCATGACAATTTTGAATTGTTTCTTCGTGGCTTTTATCTTTTTTTTTCTTTTCGTTGCTCGCAGTGTGTTACGGCTATCTGTTCATTGTTTGTATTGCTTCTAATATTGGTGTTAAAAATTCCCCCCTATGTAATGCCCTAGGGCCCTTAGGGTAAATAAATAAATAAATAAAATACTGCGAGATGGCACTGCGAGATGGCGCCACCGGCCCTCGCGCGACTCGACCTGAACCAATACGTACAGCATTAGCTCCGAGATCCCCAAGCGCGCGAACGCTTCGGGATCTCGGAGGCCATGCGTACAGCCGTGCAGTTCCCGGAGTGGCCGCTGCGGGTGAAATGACGGCTTTGGGGTCGCCTTTAGTTCGGTTCTCCAGTACGGATCGGAGCTACCTTTTCAAAGCAGGCTCTATGACTTTTTCTCGACTGAGTTGTGCTAGTTACGTTGCTATTTATCAAAGGCTTATTGGTCGAACGCGAAGCGTCTTCCTGCTTAAAAAGAGACAGCACTTAACGGAAAATATGAACGCCACTCACATTGTAATACCCGATGCCGACGGCACACGCTCCCTACAAGAAATTCAAATAAATAGCCCAAAAACAATGCCACCGTAGCGCGGCCAATGCTAAGCGTTCTTGCCAGAAGGCACTCTTTCACGCGCTTGTGAGCAATAAAAAAAAAAGCGTCACGACGAAAATTGGTCTAATATCACCAGCAAAGAGGCCGAAAGGCATGCTATTTGTCAAATAGGACAGTCGCATTTGACAGGAAGATTATGCCCGTTTGTCCTGCAGCGCGATCCCATCGCATTTCGTGCTAGTGGCTTGATTTAATCTGGGGGCTTGACGCTCGGCGACTCCATTTGAGAGAAACGAGAAGCTTCTCACCGAAAAATTAATTACGCATCATCGTATGCCCAGTATCTGCTCAAATGTGGCTCTTGCAGTTGGGACCTGCAGACGCCAAAGTTTCAGAGTCTGCCCTTGTCTGGTTTCAAAATGATGAACGACTTTCGAAAATTTTCAATCAGGAAATGGTGGTCAGCGGTGCCCACAAATACACGGAGACGAATGGCGAACACCACCTGAAACGGACCCCATTTTCTCAGTGAAACTTTTTTAAGCCTTACTTCTGAAACCTGTTTGGAACCGATAGCTCTACGTTTGGACGGAAACTGAACGTGGGGCGATACAGAGTTTGTTTTTGCGGTGAGAAAAACACGATTCTCTTTTTTTTTTTCTCAAACAATTTATAATACAACAGCACTGGAGGGAACAAGGTTTTCGTAATTTTGCACTTTACACGGACTGCATTGAGACTTTCAATTTAAGCGCGAGAATGCGACTGTAAGAGACATTTCTTTTTCTCCCGAACCTTCAAGCATGTCCGTCGTACTTTTTAGGATGTGTGACCTTCTTTTCCAGATTCTGTGGCGCTGCCCACGAGGCCAGAGTGTGATACGAACGGTCTTGTCTCTGGGTCTTGCAGTACCTCATGCTCTGTCTGGTCCTGGTGCTCCTTGCTTGTGCAGCTGTCCTTGTGCTCACAACGCTGGAGAAGCTGGTGCTCATGCTCCTCTTTGCCTTGCCCTTTTGCGCGCTCACCTTCACCTGGGACGACAGCCTCTGGAACTTCTTCTTTGACAGGTAACTTCTAAGCTGCACCGCAGGCTCGGCCGTAGGCTCGGACTTTTTGGGATTCTGTGCTCCTACTCATTGCTTATAAAGACGCGCGTGACGAGCCAACGACGCCCAGCCCTAATTTCTACGTGACAACAGTAAGAGTATAATATCAATACTAAATATTAAGGATACATTGCACATCAGCTTAATAAAACATAATACGACACTTTCCCTTGAACCTTCTCGTCTTACTAAAGCAACTACATTGCTGTTCGCTGCGTTCAGCTCAAGAAACGAGTTTATCGTATGATATACTTCTCGCGTCCAAATGCTGCGAGAGGTCTACCCGTGGTATAAAATGAGTTTGTGTATATATACTTTAAACCAGTCTCAATTATGAAAAAAATGTTAGCCCGTACATTGGATTGTAGTCAAGCAGGCCCACAGTAAGCGTTCCAGCATGGGAACGAGGCTGGGGTAAACAGTTCGTTACAAGTGCTCGTAAAGATGTCCGCTTGATTCTCCCCGCAGTGACCGTGAAGGGATGTCCCTGAAGACGGTGGTGATGCTGGTGCTTTGCCTGTACATTGTGGTTCTGGTGATCCACGGCTTCCAGACAGAAGCGACGTCCCGGTTGGACTTCCTCTGGAAGCTCCAGGCCATGGAAGAGAAAGAGGACATGGAGGACCTGCAAGCCTACAATCGCAAACTTCTCGGGAACATCCTTCCCGCTCACGTGGCCGAGTACTTCCTCAGCTCCGACCATAGAAACGAGGTACTCGTCCCTCTCGTCTTCTAGTACGGCACCTGGCTCCGACTGGTGTGTTTGGCGTCCTATTCCCGCCCATACATTAAAAGTGATCCGGAAAAGGGCGACATATTTCGTCGTACAATCCGGCGTGTCACGTTGTCAGGTGAAACGATCCTGGCCGTTAGTGTCAGAAGTGCCGACAAAAAGCACAAGCGAACGCTAGTGTCGCTGTCACCGCGGGGTCCTAACTCCTGGCTGCTGTAGCTATCGTGGACTGTCAAGCTGCAGAGCGTCTGGCAGCAGAACAGGCGTGTGCCACGTCCGCTACCACTGTTGTGACACCGCTAGGATTTCGGCCGGTGACAGCATAACATTTGTATGACGTCATCAAGAGGAAATCGAAGAACCACTTTTTAGGGCTCGGTAAACACACCAGTCAGAGACGCGTTCCAGGCACATTACCCTTAGCTCTAAAAGTAGTAAACTCGGAGAACCAATGGCCCCAGCTGAGCGCCTGGGGAGCCAGCCGCTTATGGTCGGATAAAAGTTAAGAATACGCCAAAACAACGACACGTACCAGCCATGGCATCGGATCGCTCTGGAGACCAACGACTTGTGTGACGTCAACGCAACGTGCGCCTCGCATTGCAGAGGATGGCTGGTACGTGGAAAGAAGGGTGTGGAAGGGGCTGCTGGCGCGATCCAGGGTGTACCAACCTGGAAAAGCTGCAATTGTCAAGGGATTTTAAAGCATTCAGAAGTTGGGGAATTGTCAGGGAAATCTTCAGAGAATTGGTTAGGTCAGGGATAATGACCGATGTGGGCGGCGCAGTGACACGGAACGCAACGAGGTGGGAGGGTGCGGCGTGCAGTAGCATGGATGTATGGCCTTCGCGCTGAGTAACAGTTGCCTGGGGCATCACTGCACAACGTAAGCCACCACTCGATTCGCCGGAGTAAACAGGAACAGCCTGAACAAATGCTACCACCCGAGCCTCCGTATTTTTTTTTTGTCTTTTTTAAGAGTCAGGCAGTGGCGTCACAAGGAGGGAGGGGGGGGGGGGGTCGCGGCGGGCTGCCGCCCTGGGTGCCACTGACCCTCGTGCCGCCACTGGGGTCGGGGATTTTAGCAGAAATATTCAAAAGGAACCTGGACAACTCAAGGGAATTAAGAGAAGCAATTTGGTAGACAAGACCCAAAAAGTCGTTTTGATTCCCATACGCTTTGTGAGCGCCGGAAGCCCGGGTGTAAGGAGGTGAAATGTGCATGAACAACATCAGTTTACTGCAAAGAAGATAGTCTTCTTCATACTCGCTTCACCGATTAAGAAAAGCGAATAGCCTTTCGAGCATTCTCCTCTCGCAACGTTCGAGTGAAACGAAATAGAGAGAAAAAAAAAAAGATGAAGTAAAGAGAGCAAACGTTCGTGGCCCCTTAGCAAGAAACTGAGAATTTATCAAACCCTTGTGGGAGCAGGAGTTGAGATGCGGAGTTTCTGGGACGTCAGGAAGAAATAAACAAAAGCTGAATGATGGCCTCCATCGGTTTTCTAGCTACCCAAACTAAACACATTTTCGAAATGCCCAGGCTCTTACCGGCATGATATATTTATCATTTCTTAAATCAAAATAGCTATTGAGAAAACGGCAAATAAAAGTTATGCCAAAACCAACATGTTTCCGCGCTCTCAAGTCCCGGGGTAACGTCAAGTCCAGCGGGCAGTCTATAAAAAAATACCTTATTTTGCGTGTATTTTCTTTTCTTTTGCCGGTGTGAACTTCCGCGGCATTCATTTTATACTATCAAACCTGTTGTAACTCGTCGGAAACATTGGATGTCGCGTTTTTAGCATTACTATAGTAGAGGGTTTCAACCTCCCAGTCCAAATTTAAAAATCCAGTAACTTCGCTAAAAAAAAAAATCTGCGATTTGTAAATTGTTACTAGTTCAGATTTGTCTATTAATACGTTGAAACAGCTTTGAGGCAGATCGGTGACTATTAGGGGTTGCATCGCGTTACGAAGCTCCTGAGCAGTCATCCTGCAGCGTGCACAATGTTCCTAGACTACGAGCTTCCATAAAGAAAATGAAGCCCTGTGTTTCGGCCAGCATAGATAAACTATGCATTATAGGAAGCTGAAACTCCGGTGAACGTTACGCTAGCTGTGATGGAAGTCGAAAGCTGGACATCACCTGAATCAAAATATAAATCCGAAAATAAAAATTTCTCTGCGCATCAAACCAAAAAAAAAAGACTTTTTGTGCGCCTGTGGCAGGTATTTCAGTGAAACCAGACTTCTGAGTATAATCTTCTATTTCTTACTAACAAGTTCGTTTCACTGAAATAAATTACAACACGTGGCAATCGAGTTTTTGTTTCATTCAAGCTGTTAATTGTTGTTGCTGTTGTCGTTTTTTTTTTTTTTTTTTCGGGGAGGGGGGGGGGGGGTGGTTTTGCAGTTTTATTTATTGCAGGAATTGACCGATCACATATTTTTATTTACGCTCAAAATATTCGTGTTACACTCCCAGTGATCGAAGTGCTGCGCCATTTGCGTCAAATTCAGCCATGAACGAAAGTCTGCTACATGCGCCGGAATGCCATATTTGCTAAGAATGAACCTTTTTCATATAAAGACGACACCAAGGACGTGGCTAAAACTCTAACTACGGTTGGTGTATGGAATAAGGGCTACGATACATGTCCTGCCTTTTCTGCGGCTGATCTGAGCCGTGGAAGAGGCACGAGAGCAGGGTTGCCGACATGAAAAGTCAGAATTTGCCTAGCGAACGCCTGAAATTTCCATCGCTTGCCCAAATAATTACATAATACTAAATATTTGTTTGTTTGTTCTTTTGCATCACTTCCATTTCTACGATAGTGGATATATTATGTAGCCTTTACGCCTCGCGTACGTTTCGCAAAACTGAGTTCATCGGGTCAAAACCGCGGCCAAAGCAAATCTGACGAGGGGAAGTGTTACCGGGAGATTCAAACTGACGAATGAAAACTTACATTCACCTCAGATGTTATGCACGCCATCACGCTTTATGTTATAATCAGTCCAAAACAAGGGTGTACTGCAATAAGCGAGAGTTCTTGTACTCGAATTCAGGGAACACGGCACACAGTAACTACAATTTCATACACGGCACTTCACAAAATAATATTAATTGTGGTAAGTCGGCATCTCCAGACATCGTAATATTTCTTCACGTGCTCAAGCCTTTCTCTTCTTTTTTTTTTTTTTTTTCGAGAAGGCATAGCTGCGTTTTTAGAAGCTTCCACTTGGCTGATCCCTTCCTTCATAGCTTTCACGGGGGCGATGAAAACAGAAGAAAATTGATTTTGCCGAAAAAAGTTGTTGGAGTGCTCCTCAGTGTTTCCACATGGTCGCAAAACAAACCGCAAAACAGCTGGAGGGAATAGCCTAAATGTAATCAAAGCCGCTAAACTTCGATGTAAACTCGAAATAAAATCAAAGTGGGCCTATAAACTCAAGATGTACACGGCGCGACAACTTTTCTTGGCAATGCAGTGGAAGGTAGAGGCCCGCGTCCCCTCTCCCATTTTGAGTGTGCGCGGGCTCTCCCCCTCTCCTCGGAAATGGGGGAGGAGGAGAGCCCGCGCACACTCAAAATGGGAGAGGGGACGCGGGCCTCTACCTTCCACTGCATTGCCAAGAAAAGTTGTCGCGGAGTATAGTAAGATTTCCCTTATTACCACATAGACCCGAATATTACCTTGATCTGGGAAATATTTTCTCGGGTTGGCAGCCCTGCAGGAGAGGTTGTGCAACCATCCTTCCAGACGCCAGCCGAAGTTCGAGCTTTCTCCGCTGCGAGAAAAAGGCCTGCGCGTTTGTAAAACCCTTCTTGAAAAGGTCCATTACGCCACACCTGCGCCGAGTAGGCTTAAGCAAAATAAGATATAAATATTTTATTATTGGTAGACATTAATACTTAGAAAAGTAGGAGGAAAAGAAAATGGTACAAATACGTATATCGCAACGTGTGTAGTCACCACATAGTTCGTTTCATCTTATAACAGAGCACAATCGAAGGCTATAACACGTACAACCGCGAACACAGATACTAAATAAAAGCGCAGGTCACGGGACATATTCGCTGTATTGTAAAGGTTTAGTCGATGAAGAACACGCACAGAAGCTGGATGAATGCTCTGATATCTCGCTTTTTACGCTCTTTGGTTGTTCCCATTGGCTCGTGGCCTCGGCTGCGCTTTTACTTAAAACGAAGTTTGGAGATTGCTCGTCAACCGCGCTGGCTTGCTGATGCCCTGGCGGCATACGCTTAGGCTACGGGGGGGCATCGGGGCTATGATCGTTACCGAGACGCTGTTTACGTGCCATGTAACGACCTTCTAGTAGTGGCATGTAAACAAAATAATGGACACAGCGACGGACACATGGCGATATTCACACGCTGTAAAATGTACCCCCTACAATAAACTACCAATAATTGCCGGTGTACAAAAATTGCGCGAAAAAGCACCCCCCCTTCCCCCCCCCCCCCCCCCCCCCCCCCCCCGGAGAACTTCTCAGACTGCCCCCCCGCCCCCCGGGAAAATGGAAAGTGTACGCCGCTGCCTGGCGGCATAATCGCTGACGTCGTCTAAATTTGTAGGGGAGATCAATGGCCGAGTGGGCTTGCGCGCACCAGTTCGAAGCACGTGGAGCGAAAGCCCGCGTTGCAGAACCCGGGAATCCTGGGCTCAATCCCCACCCCTGGCCGCTTCGATCAGGATGAGCATCGTACCGGCATGCGGTCGTGTACTACCGCGGCGTGATGCACGTTAAAGGCCCACAGGCTAGCGGTTGCTCATTGCAAATTGCTCATCTACAGCTGAGAAACCAGTCGCCCGTTGAGGCAGACTAAGTTCAGGCTGCATAAACATACACACACACACACACAATTCTAAATTTCCGGACAATGTCGGCTAAGTCAGGAGCTGAAAGTCGCGCGAAAACACTGCAAAATAGTAGGACAGCGGCCAATGGGA